ACATTTCATTTTGTGGCCAAAGAGACTTATTGCAAAGCCAAAGGTGAAGAAGGTGGCAGTCAAGAAGGCCACAACGAGCGCATCATCTGATCCTGTACTCTTGCCTCTTCCTGGTGATGTTGCGCTTATGTATTCCAGTTTGGAGCTTCTTCATTCCATGGTGCCAAACATGGATAAGCCTGTGACTTTCAAGATGCCGTTGGGGGTTGTGGGTTCAGATATAACATACGACTTCACCATTGACAAGAGGGACCTCATTCAGTTCCTTAACTTTGAGGGGCTTGATATAGCCTTTATGCAGCTCGCTATTTTGTAAGTTACAATATCATTTTCTTATTACATATTATACTTCATGCATGTCCTGATGTTTTTTACTTGAACAACAGGTACTTTAATCAAATCTGTCGAAACGGAGGACTTGAAGGAACATATGGCTTTATGTGTCCTCAAAGGGTGCAGAAAGAATTTAATACTGTGGAAGCAAGGTCAATCTACATTATGACCACAATGACTCAGACCAGAAAGCTAATATATTTTGCACCTTACGTGGAAGGGTAAGTGTATTATTGTATTTGAGATATACAAGTTGTATGTATCGGGTTATAATTAACATGGTTTGCCTTTTGCAGTTATCATTGGACTCTAATTGTTTGTGCCCCTTTTGACAACAAAGTTTACTGGTTCGATTCATTCTGTGGAAGTCCATCCGAAGAAACCAAAGATGTCATCGACACGTTAGTTTTTATTTATATATTTATTACTTGTGAAGTTTATACAAGCATGCTCTAATATCATTTTCTCTTATAATGTTGATAGGGCTTTTCATACTTTTAATGTTGTGGCGATTAAACAAAATAGACAAGCACCAACATGGATTCTTCCAAAGGTATATGTTGTTTTGAACTAACTTTTAAACATTTTTGGATGAACTAAAGTTAATGTTTATAATCAATAATGTCTAATATTCAATTTTATATCTTATTTTTTTAGTACCGTTGTCAACAAAGACATGTTGAGTGTGGATATTATGTCATCCGCTACATGAATGACATAATTGGGACAGGAACGACTGAGAAATTAGACGAGGTAAAGATGAGTTACGTTGTATGACATTCTCAATTCATTTCACATTTTTTACTAAGTTTACTATGTTATTTTTTATTAACAGATATTTCAAAATACTGTGCCATATCTCATGGATGACATCAACTTGATAAGGGACACTTTGTCAACAACATTGGTAGAAACTATTGAAATTTAGCTTTCAAATAGATAGGTTATTTCTCAAAAAATTCATTGTTAGATGTTTTCTCTCGGTTCCCTCTTATATGTACATGTTCATGATTTCCATTGTACAGAGAAGTAGTTACTTCTATTTCAGACTTGTTGGACCTAGCCAATACGTGTTCCTTGGTCTTAATTAACCACTTAGTTCTATTATATTGGCTGGTTTCCCTATTTTTGAATTGTGTAAAAGAAATTTCAATGCTGTACATATATTAACTAGCTAATTGATCTTGTTCTGCGTGATCTGCACTGCCTACATTTATTTGGAACTGTAAACTGCAGGGTGGTAAAAATGAAAATCAAGCAGAATTTTTTAAAAAAAAAGTATTTTTAATGGCGGTTATATATAACCGCCGTTAAAAGTATATTCCACGGCGGTTTTTTATAAACCGCCGTTGAAAGTCAAATTTCAACGGCGGTTTTTTTTTAACCTCCGTGGAAAATGGATTTTCCACGGCGGTCAAATATAAAACCGCCATGGAAAATGGAGTTTCCACGGCGGTTAAATAGAAAACCGCCGTGGAAAATCAACTTTCAACGGCGGTTTCAAACCACCGTGTTTTCTTTACCTTTCAACGTCGCCTTTATCAACTTCGCCTTCAAAACCGCTGTGAAAAGCCACTATTAACCGCCGTGAAAAGCCTTTTTTCTGGTAGTGTTCGTAGGCCTCTCTAATGATAAACTAACGAACGTTCATGATGTGGTGCCAAATGCTCTATTTTGACAACTTCATGTATATTTTTGTAGCAAAGTAAACTTTATGGTGCCAAGTGCCCTTTAGTGTAAATTTTATTATTAAAATTACACCTTAACCCCATTAATTATTGTTGCGTGTAGTTTCAAACACTCTAATTAGGTTATCTTACTTCACCACAATTTTTCAAAAATTGCGATGAAATATATTAAAACCATTGACTTTGTCCGTCACATTGATTGTCATGAACTTTTATTATTAAAAAAAATGGTATCATTTATTTGTTAAATATATTGTGCGTATACTTTCAGTTAAGACAATTTTAAATTTCGTCATCAAGCTATATATTATCCTGCAGCAATCAGAACAGGCTATCATATTTTGTTTTCGTCAATATTTAATTTGCTCATGCGTCTAAGTTTGTGGTTCATGTAACTGTGACATTAATTAGGTTACGATTTCTTCCCACATGATTCCTAGATTCCAAAAATTTGAATAGTTTAATTTGTCCATCAAATTCAACATCGATCTTGTATTCAACGGCACGGCCTTGTGTGAGAAAATAAACAAAAAGTCCAAGTGGCCATAGACGTCAAATATTTTTTTGGTTTTATTTATAGGGTAAACTGGTAAAAAGAATTATTTTTGTAGTCTTATTTATAGGACAAAGAGAGAAATTTTTTATATGAATGCACAATTTTAATCTTTATTTATTATTATGTTAACTTTGTTTTTATATATATAATTGAAAAATTATTAAATTTTGAGTCAGAGTAAATAAAATTTAAGGTTTTTTTATTCTGTATAAAACATGTTGGAAGTAACTTTAAAATAGAACTAAAAGAGTATATTCTTTGTCCTGTATAGTCTCTCAAATTCTTATTATAAGTCACTTTCAATTATTTCATCGAGATTAAGAAAAAATAGTTAACTTATTAAATATGATTTAAAATTAAAAAAATTTTTCCAACTTTGGCCTTGTAAAAAACATGGATTGAAGTAAAAAAGATAGGAAAATTAAACAGCGTGACCAAGAGTTATATAAGACACTGAACTAGAAGAAGACATGACAAGAGGGTATATAGAAAAAGAAGGAAAAAGAGTTGGAAAAAAAACAGATAGCAACTCAAATTAAGATATTTTCCATTCCTTATGGCAAATTCCAATCACAAAAAAGAAAACAAGGTCGCAAAGAAACAAAACAATGTCATATCAAACTACCTTTCTTGTTATAGTTGGATCTCCAAGCTTTTGGATGCTCTAAATTCTACTCAAGCATCCAAATATGGGTCGATACGAATAAAAGATATCTGAACAAGGTTCTAGCGTCATCTTCAATGTGTCCCAAAAAAAAAAAAAAAAAGAGCAGAGCAAATGAAGCATGTCCAAAAGTAAATCGCTTTTCAATTTAAAAAAAAAATCCATAGATGATGACTTCATGATCATGAACATATAAAATAGCTGGAACATAAACGACGCAAGAAACTATGGATTATGTGTACGTATATGATGAATTAAACGATTGTTTCCTTCAGTGTCCAACTCATGATGCAATTATAAATATGAATTTTTCATGCACCACAATTTCTCCAAGAAGTCCCAAATCACTATAAACCAACAAGAAATGTACCAATTAATGTCTTTCAAACTCTGCTGGCGCACGTATTCAGTTTTCTTGGTTATTGCATATTTCCATCTTAGCTTGCTTTATTCTATATTGTTTTAATTTCATCAGTTTGTGTGTGTGCGTGTTAGTAACACTAAACTCTTTTTTTGGTAAGTATGGGTATTCTCCTATCGGAAACAATAATATTTGAGGCATTGTCGGATACTAGCTAGGTACTTATCCCAACAGGGATTCAAATCTTGGTTCACTGTGTTCGTTAATAACACTAAATTTATTCCTGAGCTTAGCCGCAATTTTTCAAAAAAGTTTCATAAAATATATTAAAACCATTGACTTTGTCCCTCATATTATTGATTGTGAACTTCTATTATAAAAAAATAGTATCAATTATTTGTTAAATATGCTGCGTATGCTTTCAAACACAATCATAAATATCATCAAGCTGTTTTATCCTGCAGCAATAGGAATAGGAATGCTCAGAAGAAGAGATGGCATATTTTAATGGTATCCTTGTTTTGATTTCGTCGATATTTAATAATAAGCTCATGCGTACAAGTTCAAGATTTACATTTAATTTGTTTATCAAATTCAACATCGACATGTTTACCCAAAAAAAAAATCAACATCGACATTGTATTAAACGGCACAAACGTGTGACGACAAACAAAAAGTCCGAGTCCAAATGCCCAAAGACGTCAAGTACAAATATATATAAATATTCTTTTCAATTTTTGTTACAAGTCACTTTCAACTATTACTTCAATTCTTAATATAAGAGCTAATTGACTAATTTGAGTAGATTAAAAAAATTAGTTAAGTTAGTTATTTGTAATAAATAAGTTTTGTCTTTCTTAAAATATTATTGCTAATCAAATGTATTGGTTAGAACTACTATTATTGTAAAGACTATCTTGAAAAAAAATAAATATGAGAGACAAAGTGGATTGGTGGTATTATATTTAATACTAAAATAAAAATGAAATGGGTTCTTATATTAAATACTAGAAGTAGTATTTCATCAAAATTAAGAAAGATCAATCAACTTATTAAATTGTCTTAAATTTAAAACTTTTTAACTTTGCTCTTGTTAAAGAATATGAATTGAAACAAGAAAGCAAGAAAGAAAGAAAAACATGGTATTCAAAGAAATCATGTAAAACACTTAACTAGAAGGCATCCTCTAGTAAGGACAAAAGAGAATAAATAATATATATACCAACAAGTAAACTGATATGCGAATCCAACAACACAATCCACTATGACGTAGGACAATCCTAGAAAGAAAAAAAAATCATTTGGTCATAACTATAAAAAGAAGAAAAAACTAAGAGATACACTGTAACATTTTAAGCTGGGGTTACAGTTGAATTCAGAAGATCAGATCAGATCAGATCAGTGAAGAGGCTCAACTGTGAGAAGAAGTCCATGAGCAGGCCTGAGAGAGAGCATGATTGAAGGAGAATGACGATAACGTGGTGAGACTTTAAACCTAAACCTAGTAAGAAGAAGAGTTAACACAATCTTATACTCCATGAAAGCCAAGTTCCTTCCTACACACATTCTCCCTCCAAACCCAAAAGGCAAATAACCCATCTTATGCCTGCATCCTCCATTAACGCCGTCGTCTTTAAACCTCTCCGGCCTGAACTCGTTGGCGTCTTCGCCCCACAGTTCCCGGTCGTGGTGCATCGCCACCACATCGATCCACATGTTGGTTCCATTAGGCACTGTTAAGTTATCCACTTTAATGTCTTCTCTGGCTTGCCTTTGCACGTTTGGTGCAGGTGGGTATAATCTCAGGACTTCATTCATCACCCACTTCATCTGCAGATCAATTAATAGAAAGGTCATTAGTTAGCGCTTTCCTAGGAATAACATGTTTATGTAAAAGTATTAATAATAATAATAATAAATGTATTGTGAATGTGAAGAAATTATAGACTTTAATTGGTGGGTGGATTTCAATTAGAATTGTTCCTCTATATATGTTATGTTTTAATCGGTCAAATTCTAAACATATGTTGTGTTTTCACGGCTGTTCTACGTGTTTATATTTTATCAGGCACTTGGCTGCTCTGACTTGGCTTTAATAATATGAAAAAGAAAAAGGAAATGAAGTTAGTGCACGTATAGGCTCAAAAAGTGACACCGCGTTTTTCTATATAATTTATTATTCTTTTTTTCTTTCAAAAGGGAATTAGCACTTTGTGGCTAAAGCTGCGCACGTGCATGCTTTGTCTCGTCGCGTGGGCTATTCAAGTTATTGGGGCTTTTTTTGTTTAATTTTTTTTGTTTAGTTTCATTCGTGCTTGTCAATAGTCAACCACAACTTCAAACCACACAAATAATATTTGACCCTGCTCACACACGTATCATCAATATTGTCAAAAAGCAGAATTATTTTAGACGGGCCCACTCTTTTCAAGGTAAATAACATGACCCAGACCAGAATGAGACAAACTGAATTCCAGGGTTTCAAACTCCTCATCTATATCTAGTGTATCATTGTGAAAAGGAACAAATTAAATATCTTATTAGAGCTACTTGGCTGACAAAATTTTCAGAAAAAATTAGGATTAATACCATCTTTAATCTCTAAAATTTGATCTTATTTTGTTTTTAGTCACTAAAATTTGAAATTAATGGTTTTGATATTTGAAGTTTAATTTCCTTCCTGAAATTTTAAACAAGTGGTTTTGATCCATGAAATTTAATATCATTTTGATTTTGGTTCTTGTTTCAGGGACAAAAAATCTTAAGTAAAGCCAAAATGAGATTATTTTTGGGACCAAAATCACTAGCTTAAAATTTTAGAAACCAAAATCAAAATAAAGTCAAATTTAGGGACTCAAAATGGTATTAACCTAAAAAATTATGATTTGTTAAGTATTTTGACATTTTTAAACAAGCCGGCGAAAATTTTGATTAGCAACTTATTTTACGTCTTAATAATTAGGTGGCCATTATAGGAGTTCATTAAACGTACGAGAAAACCAATTAAAAGCAATCTCATCGTACGTACCTTTCTTAAACCTGCGAGTAAATTAACATCACCCAGCTCGTTGTCTCCGACAACTTCTTTAATCTCATCTCTGAGTTGATTTTGCCAATCTTCGTGCGTAGCCAGAAGCAGCAAAGTCCAAGTTACAGCAAGCGCAGTGGTTTCATGTCCGCCAAAGAAGAAAGTTTTGCACTCATCAACAAGTTCTCTCATGGTCAATTTATTGGCTTGCATCAACAAACCTAACAAATCTTGTTGATCCTGATGAGGTTGAGGTTGAGGTTGTCTCATGTTTTTCGACTGTTTCCGAGATTCAATGATGGACAACAAGAGAGCATCAATCTCTTTGCCCAGTTTCTTAGCCTCTAGGGTTTTCTCAACGTTCAAGTAATTCCCAAAGGGAACACCCACATATCGATTCGTCTTAAAGAGAGTCATTTGAAGAGCTCTTAGTTTATCAAAAACTTGCCTTGCCTTCTCAGGATGATCTCTCATACCAAAGCTCGTTCTCGCTATGATTTCTCCTGCTGTGGCTATAACCTCCCTTTCTACATCTATTTCAGAATTCCCAGAACTTATTTGTGAACACCATCTTTCTATCATTTGGTTTGTGGATTCCACCATCATGCACGCCATTGCCTGTTTTTTTTTCCAAGAAATATCACAGTCACTTATTATATTAGTATTAGAATGGAACAAAACTGGATAATGAAAATAGACTTGATTTGTATAAACCATTCCTTATTGGGTTATTTATGTGTAAAAGCATCTATCTCTACCCTACCACTAATGATGACTCTTGTCTGCCCATAAATATGTCACGTACTTTTCAAAGCCGCAATCATCATTCCAAGTGATGTTATTGTCTTTTTCCATTAAAGCCCACATGTTCGAAAACTAAAATGTGTGTGTCTCTGTGTGTGTGTGTGTGAGAGAGAGAGAGAGAGAGAGAGACCTTGAGGTTAAGAGGAGAGAAGGCGGGGGCAATGATATGACGATGACGAACCCAATCGTTGCCTTCGACCATAACAAGGCCACTTCCAAACATGGCGTCTCTGTCGTTTTTGAACACACTGGGCTTTCCCCATCTCTTTGCCAAAACCTCGGTCGACATTTTCTTCAAGAATTCTGGCTCTGCTATGTACAAAAACGGCTCTGTCCCCAACCAGTACACGAACACCTTCCCTGCATTGTTATTCAAACCAAACACATTCATTAACGTTGTTCATCTGTCCCCATCACCAATCAATGAGAAAGGTGTGATATGTGTGTGTGTGTGTGTGTGTGTGTAGTTGAAGGCTTACCGTGAGAATTCTGCCATCGAGAGAAGTAAGGGAAAACAGTGGAGTGTATATCATGGCTGGGTTTTGATGATGAGGATGATGAAGACAAGTGATCATCATCATGATCATCATGGTCAGTAAGAATAATAGAGTTTCTGTTATTCTGCTTTTTCATCTCTTTAATGTTTCCGAGGGGGAAACTTGGCGTTGGGCCACCAAATCCACATCTCTTGAGCTTGAAATGTGTTAGGACTGGCTTCACCCACCATGAAAATGCAAGTTTCAGAACTAAACTCATGAAGCTAAACACTACAAGACCCAAAATCAGCCTTAAGAACTCCATATCTGTCTCTCTGATCTCTCTCTCTATTCTTCTTTCTCTCTGTGAAAGTGCAAAACTCTCTCTCTGCTTTCTGATTTCTGCAGAACTTACGAAGAAGGCTTTGATTCTGAGTGAAGATTGTGATGAGGCAGGTTGTGGGGGGAAGGGTATTTATAGAAGAAGGGAAGGGTCGGAGAATCCGTGGGCGTTGACTGAGCCAAACGTACTGTAGTTTGCTTTGAAGTCTGAACATTTTGGATTTCGCGACTTTTCCTTTTTCTTTTGCTCTTTTTGGCCATATATTATTACACGACTCGAGACCCACATGTTCGCTGTTCCGTTGCTCTTTTTTTTTTTTTTTTTTGTAATTTCTTTGGCCAACATTCTGTTTCTCCACTTTTGGTTCTCATTGAATTTCCCCTTCCATTTTCAAAACTACATAAATTTTCTATAAGAATTACAAATATAAATAATTTGCACATATATTTCACATGAGGTTTTATTATTTACTTACAAGCCTCCTATTTTGAAGAAAAATTTGTGTGTATTCTAAGTATAGAAATGCCTTGTGCAAGTGAAAATCGATCAAATTTAAAATTTTATTTTATTTTAGAAGAAGCTTTTATGATTTTTAGAAATAAAATATTCTCCATATGTTCTCTAAAATTCTAGAGGAATCAATATATTATAGAATTACAATGAAAAAAGATATTTTTTTGTTATCTCCTATTCATTCTACATGTCTATACATAATATGATAATATTAACAAACTATGCTATTAATGAATTATAAATAACATTGTTCATTAATTAGATTTCATAAAATATGCTCTATACTAGTTTATTTAAAAATATATACACACATGGTCTGAAATCTATTCATCTTAAAAATTAAGGAGTACATAATTCCGACAAGCTTTTCTAATAATTTTAAATTAAATAGTGAAACTGGTGATTATGTTGATTTTCACAAAATATAGGGAAGATTGATATAAGGGAGGATGACAAAAAAAAAAGTTGAAAATTTGTAAATATTAAATAAGGAATGTCAATAAAAATTTGTTGTCATTTGTAAATTTAGTATTATCAACACTAAATAAAATGTTGTTACTAAAAGATCTAGTAATTTTAAACTTTTTTTTTTTGTCATTCTCGCTTGATATAATTGAAATTATTTGCCTTTTTTCAAATTTTAAATGGTCGGACGCTAAAATCGTGGGGTTTGGACAGACCTTAAGTTGTCTTTAGTTGGGAATTATTGCGGCTGCACGCTAGATGGGTGTGGAATCGACCGGACCAAATAAAATACGCTACCCCGTTATTTTTTGAGAGAGTTCCCACAAACATAATATTGAATTTATTAAACATCAAATAAGATTAGGTAACAACACTTTAATAAGTTTTGATAACATTAGACTTGTAAATAATAAAACTTTTTTTGAAAAAAATTATTTAAAATCTAGTAATTTCAAACTTTTTTTTGCGAGATTCTTCCTTTTTTTTTCCTTTGATGAATAAAAGTTTAGGTAAATTAGTCTCGATTTGCTCCAAAAAAAAAAAAGGTAAATTAGTCTCGAAACTCACTGAAATCAGAGCATGCCTCCAAACTCAAAGAACACTTAAAAAAATACTTGCAAATCGCCTACCAATAAGGTTATTACATTAGTAGCGAAATTTGAATTCACAGCCTTATGGATTATGAGTCGATTCTTTACCAATTGGACCAATTTTTATTGGCACTCTATTTTTTTTTACTGAGCCCATCATATTAATCCTATTTCTCTCTCTGTCTTTTATAAAAAAATAACTACCACATCTACATTGTCCCTATTTATAAGAAATATTTGTAAGATGTCTCAAATTTTTTTGCCTAATTTTCTATTTTGTCCCATTAGTAATTTATTGTAATACTCAATGTATTTACTATTTTATTTCTCAGAATATTATTCAAACGTCTCCTCTCATTTAAACATCTCCCCTGTCACACAATTTCTCTCTTTCACAGTTTTCTTTTATTTTAATAGTTTCTTTATCCTCTTTCTTACACTTTCTCCTCTCATAAATAAGGATGTTTTAGATTAAAATTTTTTTTATCATTTTTACGTATTTATTATCTTTAACAAATTTTAATACTAACTTTCTGATCTACCAAACTTGGTAAGATGTTTTTTATAAAAAAGAACGACGAGAGTAATATATAGCGCCTTACTTACTTTTTGATCTACTTACCATTTTACAATTTTTACACAAAGGTTTCATATCAACGCCTCAATATTAAGCACATAAAAAAATTAAATAATTAAGCAAATTAATATCTACGCATGAGTTTTGACGAAGTGCCAAATCCTAAAATTTTCTCTAGCGAATAAAGAGATATAAATATACATGCAATAACAAGCCTCAAGCGGATGCTACAAAAATAAGGGCAACCATTCTATGTCTATTTTCATTTTGACGACGTCATTAAATAGGGGATATGACTTATATAGCTCCTTTGTATTTTCAGAATATGTTTTATTTGTTCATGTACTGCTCATGGATCACCAATGTTTTCGACATAGTTTTCATCTTGTTGCTAGTCGGCAGTTGTTGTTTCATTTTAATTACACTGTTGGTTAGAGTAGTTATAGTAGCTGAGTCTGATGCTTCTGGATTAATTAGCCTCGTGTACTTTACTTTTAGCTGGATTTTGGTGCTTGAAGTTGTTTTACACATGTTTATGTAGCCTTTTAATTTTGAACTAATGTTTATTACTACCTTCGGTCCTAATATAAGAGTAAGTTGACTAATTCGATTAGATTAAGAAAACTAATTAGGTAGTTATTTATGATAAATAGGTGTTGTCTTTCCTAAAATATCCTTGCTAATCAGTGTATTGGCTAGAACTACCATTATTATAAGAATTATCTTCAAAAAATATATAAATATGAGAGACAAAGTAGATTGGGATCTTATATTTATGACCAAAATAAAAGTTTAACGAGCTTTTATATTGAAGACTGGAGATAGTAATATATTTGATCATTTTATAAGAAAACAAAGAAAGAAAGAAAAATAATGTTGTTTCATGATATACATGACCGTTAATAATATATAATGAGTTAAATAAATTTGATTCAGCTTGCTAATAATTCGCCAGTTTCAAAATATAGATCTTTTAAGATTTCTGCACATAGATTAAAAAATAGTGGAAATGACAAAAAAATAAACCGTTGAAATGTAGAAATTGCAAGCCAATGATTCAAAAAGATAACCATTGAGCCTCACTTTTTCTCCAAGGGTTAATACAATTTTGTACTTAAAATTTGAGCCTATTTTGGTTTTGGTTCCTTGAATTTTAAATCCATAATTTTAGTCTTTAAAATTTAGTTCGTCTTAAAATGTTAGTCTTTAGAGGTATAACAGTATTAAAATCTATTAAAGTATCATAAACAACGTCAAAGTGATTATATGAACCCACCATATGGCACACAACTAGATCTTGTATAGATAACATAAGTGGAAAAAAAAGAATAGGTCCTCCATGTTTTTCTTCCTTACTATTTGTTTTATGAGCTGTTCACTGTGCTGTATTTTGACAATTTATCTCCTTCTATATAGTCATTCTCTCTATTGTATTTTGAGTACCTATTTTTTCTATTATCTACATAAGATTAGTTAGGTGCATCTAGTGAGTTCATATCACCACTTTTAATTTATGAAACTTTAGCACCATTGCACCTCAATGGAGTAATGTTTTAAGATGAATTAAGTTATAGAACTAAAATTATGAGTTTAAAATTTGATGAACTAAAACTAAAATAGAACTAAATTTGAGGCATAAAAAATTATACTAACGCTTTCTTTAAAAAAAAATGTTCCTAAGCCGCCAGTGGTCGCAAAGTTCTCATTATAGTACTTTTCAAATTTTTGAGATGGCAAAATTTTTTTTGAAATAATCAAAAAGAGTAAATAACGAAATCAGGATAGTCAGTGGCAGAGTAAATGTAATAAATAGCCAAATAACATAAGTATTTTCATGATTTTTTTTGGTTAAGTATTTTCATGAATTTATTTGAGTGTAAGAGTTCCCAATACATTGTTCGATTTTGTGAAACAAAAGTAGTAAATAACAAAACTAAAATAATAAATAATGAAGTAAATGTAGTAATTAATAAGGGCATTGATTAATGACAGTATTGTTATAGAACGAAACCCCGATTCAATCTGGAGACATTTACCCTCATTAACCGTATTTATATAAATTTATTCCTTAATTTGTTTGTCCTATAACAACATTCTTTGCTGACTAAATAATACTCCTCCAGTCCTTAATATAATATCCATTTAACTAATTTGATTAGATTAAGAAAATTAGTTAAGTTAGTTAATTATAAGAAATGTGACAAGTTTTTCCTAAAATACCATAATCATCTTTCTTAATACCCATCTTCTTCTTCTACTTGATTATGATTGAGGGAGTATCCATAAGGGTAATTTAGAAAAAATTGATAAATATGATAAATGGGTATTATATTTAAGACCAAAACTAACTCAACAATTGAGTAATATATTAAGAACCAGAGGAGTATTTTATTTCAAGATCCTTGATTTGAATCATTTTTTTCTTTGTAACTACCAAGCATATCAAGCACTTTAAAATATTTTTTTAAGTATATGATTTTGATTCAAAATTAATTTTCTTGAAAAAAAAATCAGTTCAAAAAAGAGGCGTAAAAGCGAAAGTTTGTCCTCTTTAATTAATTTTCTGATAGGGTTAATATAATCTTTGGCCCCTTAAGTTTATCCTCATTTTGATTTTGATCTCTCAAGTTTCAAACCATAGGTTTTGGTTCCTCGATGGGTAAAATAGTCCAAGTTTTATTGGATTATAAAGATCATTGCTTTAAATGAAATGAAATTTGAAGGACCAAAACCTATTATTTAAAATTTGAGAAACTAAAACTAAAATGAGAGCAAATTTGAGAGACCAAAAATTATATTAACCCTAACTTTTT